TTGCGTTCGCCACCCCTCGGAGCCACGATCCCCGCGCCATTCAAATTTGCCCCCCTCCGCCGTCCCCGCGCAGGTACCTGAACCGCGCCGCTCTCGCCTCTGGGCACAGCCGGCGCTCCGCCACGCTCGGCGCGGGCGGCGGGCGGCGGGATGACTGGCTACAGGTGCTTCGCGAGGGGCGCACGGGCCGAGGCGCGGCGGCAGGCTCGAGCTCAAGGCCGGTGGAGGGGGCATACGGCTGGCCAGAGGCCAAGCTGCGAGCGGCCCGAGCTCGTGCGGAGGGACGGGGGGGAGAGGGGGGAGGGGGAGGGGGAGGGGCGAGGGGAGGGGCGGGAGGAGGGCGGCGGGCGGCCGAGCGGGGTGCCGCTAAAAACGGCGTCACTCTCGGCCCGCGGGGACAGTGGAGCGGGACGGACGTGGGCTCGGAGTCGCCGCGGGCGGCCGAGGGCGGGGATGGAGGGGGAGAGGAGAAGGGGAAGAGGACCAGGGGGAGCTTTCGGGAGCGAAAGTGGTGGCAGGGGTTTTGACACGCGGCTCCGCGGTGTCCGCTCCAGGTTCTTCCATCCTATTTGCCCTCTTCTGTCTCGTCGTGGTCGACCCAGTGGCTAGTTCCATTTCACAGTGGCACAGCTCGCGTTACAAAACCTACTCTCCTAAGCTGTGAATCAGACGCACTTGCCTTCGGGGGCAAGTGCTCTCAGGGAACTGCCCCCAGCCCTCGATGGTACGCCGCAAGGCGATGTTGGGTGCGGCAGAGGGTGGGCTCGCGCACTGCTTAGCCCTAGGGGAGGTGTGTGTGTGAGGTGGTGGAATGGTAAGGTTTCAGGCCACAGGGGTGGGGGATTTGGGGGATGAGTCAGGAGCCAGCAGCCTTCCTACTGGACCTGAGTTCTCAGCTCTTCCGCCCGACGGGGTGGTCCCGGCTTGGATTCGGGCCCCGCTCCCTTTTCCTGCGCCTGGTCTGTCCCTGTCATGAGTGTGTTGCGAGATGCAGAGCTGGTTAGGCTGGAGCGCGGGCGGTGCGGTGGCAGGCGAGGGCAGCGCGGTAGGCGAGAGGCGGCCGCGGGGCTTCGAGTGGCGCGATAGGAGGGTAGGCTGGCTGCTTAGGGGACCCCTAGGGTTCCGAGGGCCGGATTTTTTAAGACCTTTTAAGAAACGAGCAGGTTTGGGGGCTTAACTTGCCATTTAAGAGATTGCAGGCACGGGGGGTCCCCTCTTTTAAGACCGTTTAAGAAAATCGGCCTCGCCGGCATGCGTCCCTGGGTTCCGCGCCGGTTTTCTCCAATACTGCCGTTGTTAGGCACAAACCCGCCTCTGAAGACACATCTGTAAGTCTGGTGCACTGGCAGGAGCCATACTCGCATAGGGGACGCGTGCTAGCTGACTGTAGCCGGCTTCCCGGCCTCCGGCGTGTCTACCGGGAGCCTCCCGGACCATCGACCTCGGGAGCTCTCCCGCACCGTTTAAGCGTTTAAGACCGTTTAAGGAATTGGCGGCCCAGCAGCTCTTAAAACTTGCCATGGCAAGTTTTAAGCCGTTTAAGCCGCAGGCGCCCCAGGGCCCACCCTTTTAAGCCTAGGGGTCCCCTAAGGCTGGCTGTGGAGGGGCGCCGCGTGGCCTCGGCAAATGAGTAGTGAGCGGCCAGTATCGTGCGCATTGCGAATCGAGCCTGGGGCGTGGCCTAGTTGGTGCAGCGTTCGGGTCGGGGACGTTTTGGTCGTTGGTTCGAGCCCAGCTGGTGCAGTTCGTAGTCGCGCAGCGACGCGGGCGCGCGGGTGCGCGGGGCAGCCTCGGCAACCGAGGCGACAGTGGCGAGCAGGGGCGAGCAGGGGCGAGCAGGGGTCAGAGCAGTGCGGCGCGGCCGGATTTTTTCGATGGGCTCGGTCAGTGGGCGTGTCAGGAGGCGGCCGGCCGGGAGAAACTCGGCAGTAAAACTCCCGCGCCGGCCCAGGAGGTGGGAGTGTCACGGAGGCGGCCATTGGCGCGCGCTCCTTGCCGCTTGCCTCTACGTGGTCCACGTCCAGCCCGAGCCTGGCTGTTCTCAACCCTATCTATCTGACTGCATTCGTGAATACCTAACTGAGGCGACCAAGAAACAAGAAAAATATCCTCCAACTTGGGGCAAGGCGGGACAGTAGAATAAAAAGTCCGAGCCCGATGGCGATCGCCTCACTGCCCCGGCGCCAACGCCTCGACCTTCTTGGGCAGCAGCTGGTGCGACTGGTCCTCCCCGTGGCCTAGGCAGGCGTCTTCGCCCCTGCCCCAGCTCCAGACGGCACCGTCGGCGGCGATGGCGAGGCTGAGGCTATATCCAGCCGACACAGCAACGACGCGCTGCCCAGCCAACGCCTCGATCTTCTTTGGCTGCGGCTGGCGCTGCGCGTCGCCGTGCCCCAGCTTGCCAAAGTATCCACTACCCCAGCTCCAGACGGCGCCGTCGGCAGTGATGGCGATGCTGTGCTCACGTCCCGCCGACATAGCGACGACGCGCTGGCCCGCCAAAGCCTCGACCTTCTTGGGCAGCAGCTGGCGCTGCTCGTCGCCGTGGCCCAACCGCCCAAAGGTTCCATGGCCCCAGCTCCAAACGGCGCCGTCGGCGGTGAGGGCGATGCTGTGCGCGCTTCCCGCCGAGACAGCGACGACGCGCA